TATATATATATATATATATATATATATATATATATATATATATATATATATATATATATATGTTTGATGCAGCAAACAAATACATTTTAACTTCTTCTTTGTAACACTGAACATTAAATATGAATTTTGAATAGAGGTCATAGAAAAACAAATTGAAAGAAGCATTTTGAGGTACTTTGTCTTGGTGTTTTATCCAAAATCTAAACCTGTGATATATTTATTATTGATATATTATAGGTTTGTGAAAGTATGGCATAAATATATATTGTTTATAATTATGCATCTCATTTTCACATTGTTTTTTGACTGCAGGGGCACTTATTGTAATGCACCATGTATGAACCACAGTGTTTTACATTTGTGTGTGTGTTAGACAAGACCGTCGTACGGATGAAAATTTATGACAGGATACTTGTCATCTATTGGGATTCATGCTGGAGAAACCAGAGTCGGTAGGGTCTTAAGAGAGGTGCACCAGCCTTACCATCATTTGCGACAACATGTCAGTGAAACTGGCTATTTTAGATTAAACACTGTACCAACTCAAACACTGTTTTTATAAAAGATTTTTAAAAATATGTATTCACTGCACAGGGTGCCCGTAATCTGAACCCCATCCCCAGGCATGGACTGGTAATCGGGCGTACCGGGCATTTGCCCGGTGGGCCGACGTGCTGTTTTGGCCGGTCAGATTTCAGTTGTTTTCTCATCAATATGCAAGAGTTTAGAGCGATGCGTGCTCCCGCGCGAGGGGATGCAAATCTCGGCATAACACCTGTACCGCTACATATTAAAACAACAACCGTATTTTATTTTCATTTAGATGGCAAAACAAAACTCAAACGCTGTTGATTTTCTATTAATTTGATTTTTCATTTTTTCGATTTAGGTTTTAAAACGGAAAAACAGAAAAACCACATGCTTGTTTTGTTTTTTTCGTTTTTGTTATGAAACGAAAAAAACCAAAGAACAAACCATACACAAATTTCTTTTCTTTTTAATTTTCAATACTTTCAATCTTGTAGCCTTGAACATCGATTGTGCTTTCTGTTTTTCCTGGGACTTCAGCATACAGTGGACTTCACCACGGTGTCATCATTCCTCACCATGGCTGGTTCTAGACAGGGGCCAACGGGGGCCAGTGCCCCTGTAGATGATGTCCTGGCCCCTGTACTGAAGACATAATACTTAAAAGAAATTCTAATGATGATATGCGCTGAAACAGACATGGTTACTGATAGGTCCTCTGGATCTATTTCATTCTTTTTCTTTACAAATTCTGTTTTACTGATTATTCAAAAACCATAAGGTGATAGCTTCAGTGGTATTTGGATAGGATCCCAGTTTTCATCTGCTAAATGTTTTTTTATTCCACAATAAATAAAAAATGCCCTAATTGTTACAAATGAATTGAACAGTTTTTCTTGAGGTCTAATTAAAATTTTATAGAAAACGGTAGTTTTAACATAAATAAAGTAAAAAATATGTAAAATTCCTAAATTATAAATGTATATTGAACTAATATGTAATAGAATTTTATTGAACCTAATTGAAAATAAATTTCACTTCATGCAGCTCTCTTTATATATTTGAATCCCTCGCCCTGTTTTTTATTTCATGCTTTTCTGTGGCCCCATGAAAACACGCTGGCCCCCTCCTTTCCCCATGGTGCATTTGGTCTAGATCAGCACTGTTCCTCACCTTCACTAGACGTGGTTATATTCTGCTGTAATTGCTATATTATATTATATTATTGTTTTTTACTCGAGGATTGAACCTCTGCCGATTCAAAGGATGCACAGCTTTAAGTGGTAACTAGGGGACTGCCAATCCGGGATAATTTATCCGACTTGCGGGCATCGGTGAACAACTATCTACATCAGGGAGACTCCTGGAACTTCCGGGAGGCTTGGGATGTCTGCTAGTATTATCCATGTTTCTGAACCAGTGAGTGGGTTGTGTTCCCTTGTATGTGCTGAGTGCTCTGCTCCTCACCTCCTCCATATAGATATTGGAAACAATAGATGATAGTGGGGATACCATGGCACAAAAGCATCATCAGGTCACAAATCTGGTTAGGCCTGTATTTCAGGGTTCCATCATGTTCCAATTGTGTACTGACTTTGTTCACTGCCTCTAATGTGGGAATGCAAGTTAAGAAAGAAGTTGCATCAAAAGAAACAATTTCACAGGGAGCAAATCTCTCAAATGCTGTTTTTTGGAAATAAAGTCTATGGAGTATTGTATGTGGTGTGGAGTGATTCCAACAAATGGAGCCAAAATTGTTGCACAGTGTATTGCAATATTGAGTGTCACTAAGTTAATGCTGGAGTTATTTCTTTTGTTATAGGAAAAAACAATTGCACCATAGTCTGTAGACTACTTTGTATGTTTAGACAATCACAGCTGAGCTGTAACTTTGTTATCGAGAAAAGCAAGAGGTGCTCCTCTGTGAAAATGGCTCATTTGGGATTTGTTTGTTTCCATAAATTACTTGGCACACACTATCAGCCATTGGTGCAGTGAAAGGATAAAGCAGGGTTACTTTACTGGAAACGGACACATCAATTCACCTTCTTTGCTGATGCTTTTGTTGGTTTTCCAAAGACATGTTTTTTATGTTTTAATGTAGATGCTCTTTTTGTTTCAAATCTAATTAGTCCTTCAAGCTTTGTGCTTTATATTAATTTTGTTCACTTTTTTTTATTAAATGATATAATGAGTACTAATGAAACAAAGATAACAGATTTTTTCCTTTTAGGATTTCCAGGACTTTTGCCAAAGTTTTATGGACCTGTTTCAGCTCTTCTTTTTCTATTCTATTTGGCTATAGCTGGTGGAAACATTTTCATTTTAGCATTTATAGCATGTGAACGATCTCTTCAAAAACCTTCTTATTTCATATTTTTCCATTTGGCATTAACTGACTTATTGTTTGGAACTGTAACCCTGCCAAAAGCTATATCAAAATACTGGTTTAATAGTAGCATAGTTTCATTTTATAGTTGTCTTATCCAGATGTTCTTTGTTCATTTAATTAGTGCAGCTCATTCTTTTATATTGATGGTGATGGCTCTGGACCGTTTTATAGCAATTTGTTCTCCACTGCGTTATACCTCCCTGTTTAGTAATAAAACTGTTTCCTTGCTTTGTGGAATATCGTGGCTAGTGCCGACATCATTTATGATTACAAATATGTTTGAAATTTTGAGAGTACCTTTTTGTAACTCAAATATAATTGTCCAATGCTACTGTGACCACATGTCAATCTCAAATCTTGGATGTGAGTATGTACGAGAAGTTAAGACTATTGCATTAATTTTTGCAATGATTAGTTTGTTGGTGCCCTTGGGATTTATAATCTTATCCTATTTTGTTATTATTGCTGTTGTCCTAAAAATATCTTCCCCTGGAGGCTGCATAAAGACACTGTCTACTTGTACCCCACAACTTATAATCACATGTTTGTACTATTTGCCAAGATGCTTTTATTACCTGGCAAATTTTGTGGGATACACTTTCAGTGTTCCTGTTCAAATAGTTATAGTAATGTTGTACAGTCATATACCAGCAGCTGTAAATCCACTAATTTACTGTTTGCAAACAAAGGATATCAAGGAAAAAATAACAAAGAATTTTCTCTCTTGGAAAACTTACACCATAAAACCCAAGTAAGACAAATTGGTGAATAGGACAGAAAATGTGACAAGATATTTTTTTTATAATTGTTCTCTATTTATTCTCTGCTTGGAATTTAGATATGGAAGTGTTTATTTCTTTAAAGAGACATACTTTTACTAATTTTGATGAACTTTGATTTTTATTTTTACTCTTCCAGAACTTTTTTTCATTTTCGCTGTGTTTTATTATTTTGTGTTTGTTCATATTGAAAATAACTTTTCCTAAATAAAGCCCCTCTAGGTATCTTAAGTCAAAAGTTAACAAAATGTAAAACACAACTTCATACAAGCATTTTACAATGAAAACAACAAAATATTTCCTAGAAACCTCTGCATTTAAGCGTATGCAGAACTTACAAAAATACAAATGAAGTAAACAAATTAGTTCAGTAAATAATATTTTTTATTCAAATGCTAAACTAAAACTGTAAAAAGAATGTACCTGCACACGAAATCTGAAACGTTCCAGATTATGTCAACGGTGAATGTCTAGAAGGGATACTATTTTTAGTTTGTTTTAGACAAAAATCTATCTTTATGCACTGGTCTTAGGACTCAAAAATGTCCAGAGTAATATCAAGAAAAATGTTTAAAAACAGCATTGGCACCTGACCAGATGATAAGAAAAATATTTTGACAAGTTGAAATGTTCCCACATTGCAACTTCTGTTTGTTGTAGATTAATTTAAGAAGCTATAATAACAGCCATCTAGCAAGATTTAGGTAGAATTAATCATCTGCATCTATTCTTATTTTACCTGTTATGTGTTTTAAAAATGGTAGTAGTATATACAGCATTCATAACTAGCACTGCTATTGTAATTGCATACCAACCTATCTTGTCTTCTTTCTTTAAAAGCAGTATCAACTAGTTTAAATCTAGTCATTGTTAAAGTTTAAACTTTGCTGTCTCAGTCGTGCATGTACATGTTGTTTTATTCATGTAAAAACCTAAGACTGCATAACTTTTAATATTTTTCACTTTATTCTGACTAACAATGTACAGTAACTATGTGTATAAAAACTGTGATTTGAAAAAAGGATTAAAATTTGCAAATAATAAATAGAAAAGGCCTGCTTAGAAAGAATCGCTTTAAGGCCTTTTAAAAGCAGCAACTGTCTGTGCAGCTGTCGTGCGGTCTGGAAAGGATTTTTTTTATTATTAATTCTCTAGGCAATATTTTAGTATAGTAATAACAGTGTTATGCATGTCTTATCATTTTAATGCCCAAATAAGGGTGGCAAATATGTAATTTAATCAGATAACACTCTGCCATATATTGTTTTGTGAAAGAGGCCCAACTGGCTGTGTGTTAAAACAACAAAGGAAAGCGTGAATCAAGCTCAAATCACGGTGAAACAGATGGCTCTGCTCAACATTCACCACAACTTCCACTCAAGATATAAGAATTTATTAAAAGAGATCAATAAACCCCAAGTCAAACACATCTATCTTTTTCACAACACTATCTTTTTCTGTGCATGCACCCTTTCAGGTGTACGGAGCCCCCTGGGTGTCAGGGAAAAAAAAAAAAAAAAGCCGGTGGAAATCCGTGGGCACGGATTGATAAACTGAGCGCACGGTTTTCCTATCCGTGCGCGCAGATTAAGAAACTGTGCTCTCGGTTTATTAATCCATGCGCTAGGATCAATAAACCGAGAGCACAGTTTTTCAATCCACAGGCACAGGTTAATAAACCGAGAACACAGTTTCGTAATCTGTGCGCACGGATTGGAAAACCGTGCGCTCAGTTTATCAATCTGTGCCCACGGATTTCCACCGTTTTTTTTTTTTTGTTTTTTTTACCCTGCCACCCAGGGGGCTCCGTACAGGTGTATAAGTGTGGTGAGCTAAAGTTTCACCCAGTCATTGAAATTTACATTTCTCACCACAATTCTTTGAAAATGTCCGAGGGTCGTTAGAGAAAAAGTGTCTACAAAGAGTATAAGAAGAAGAGAAAGGCCCCAGAAGAGAGAAACAAGACTAGTCTTCACACATTTTCACCAACTGGTGGTAAGTCTGACATAGAGGAAATTGCAAATCTTCTTTGGGAAAGTAAGCTTGTATGAGCGATGCACAAACACCAACAGCAACTTTTAAACCGAGCGTGGACAAGGAGAAAAGGGCTGTTGCACGCTCTCGTACGCGTTTAATAGGCGTTCACTCTTGGGAGCAGGTACATGGTTGTGCAAGTGCTTTTTTTTTAAGTGGAAAGGGCAGTTCTTTTCAAAAATTAAGGAAAATCCTCCCCTATTAATTTTACTGTTATCTACACAATTGTTTCACAGACTCTGTTCCCTTGAGTCACATTGCTTTTGGTTCACAATCTGTGTGCCATATTCTGTGTATAATACAGTACTATTATAGCAACTGTGGAGCAATCTTCTCTCTAATTTGTGCCCTTGCACAATATTGCACTGTTCACTCATTCTCAGCACACAAGAGAATCTAAGCAGCACATAAAATAGAATAGAAAATCCCTTTATTGTCCCACAGTGGGGAAATGTTACAGCAGCAGCAAAAGGTTAGAAAATAAAATAAAACTCTAAATACATAAACTGTAAATCAAGATGATTACAGACAGATAATATGAAAAAAAATGTTGTATGTAATTTTGAATTCATGTATCATTAGTTTCACAACTTAAAATCAACGATTAAAAAAAAAAAGAAGAAACAAATGGGTCCAGTGTACATGAACCGAAGAGTCCACCCCCGCGCACAGATTTTGTTACATTATGTGTGGAAACGGCAAACCTTTTGCTTGCGAAAACAAATTCAATGTAATAATAATTTAAAAAGGAGCAGGATATACATTCATCTTTATTTTATTTTGTTTGCGCTCTACCCTCTCAGTCTGCTGGACGTTAGATGTGCATGCCAGCTTTATTGAATAAACAAAATTTAGCTGTTTTAGCTGATGATCCAGCTACTCTTCGATGCCAGTTTAAAAAAATCACTATGAAATCAGTTTTATAATAATGAATAATACGTAAATACAAGTGCACAAATAAATAATCCAACAAGAAGAAGAATTTTTTTACCAATCTAGGCTTACAGAACAATGAAACTCATTGGTTTGTAACAACCTTGTTGTCGAACATGAACACATTTGAATGCCTGTTCACTGCACACCGTGATGCTCAGTGTGACTTTTTTTTTTCCTGCTAAATTCAAGTACATTATAAAGCAAAAAAGTAAATCGGGGTCATAGACTTAGATGTGAGGAGCTAAAGAAGATCTCACAGGTTGCAAATATTTGTGCTACATTTCAAGCATGCAATGCTAATTGTGAAAGATTTACTTTAATGAATCACATCTAAACAGCATCCAATTTGAGAGGATGTGGTTACGTACCCTTTTTTGCAATTATCAGGATCTAGGATGCACTGTTTTATATGTATTGGCATTTTTTGATATTTTTGGTTAGAACAAAACAAGACAATCAAATAGACCAGCAGCCCAGTTTATACACCTTCCTGGCCAAAGCTACACTTTGTTTTAAAAATGCATACTGCATATCTGAGTACATATATTTCTTCTAAGGATGATTTATATGTTTTACAAGCACATTTTTAATTTTAATTTATCTTCTCTTATTTTCCCAAGGTGATGAATAACAGTTTAACAGTGTCTTCTAAGTATCTTAATTTTTTGTAAGAAAAAAAAATAAAAATAAAAATTCAAGCAAAACATAACTTTGTTTTAAATCTGAATTATTCCTGCCAAGACCTCATTTACCAGAGTCCAGAAAGACTCGTAGACCTACAGATCTAAACATATTATAGAACTGTTTGTGCAAGTAGTGTTTCAGATATTATCTATCAACTGTGCACACTAAACTATCCCATGTCAAAATAATTCCTCAAATAATTTCCTCATCATCACTTTGCATATCACAATGACAACTCACCTGCAATGGTATACCTGCAATATCTTCAAACACTGCAGCATAGCTGTCAAAAGACACTGGCACATTTATATTTGTGACCCACTGTTCAAACATAGAAAAGGGATCACTCTTGGAATGGTCCTGACCTAAAGTGGAGGTGGATGTTATTTCAAAGAATAAGGTACCTGGAAAACTACCATTCTGCCTTATGTTGCACTCAGATGGTAAGGCCTGCTCCTGTCTATAGTATTTCTTGCTAGAATTTATAGAAAACTGACTATCCTCAGACTCCAAGAAAGTAAATGTGCTGTCTGTTTCACATTCAGATAAGGTCTCCATTACCGTAGTGGGCTCTATGGGTCTAGACTCAAGTTGAGCATTCAGTTTGATAATTTCTTCAGAAGTGAGTGGTTGTGTTGGCTCAAGGAGCTCTTGCTGAGGGAATTCTTTTGTGTAACAGGGTATTTTTTCCTGCTGTTGCTCAGTATCAAGCTTCCAAATTGATCCTTTGTGTAGTGGGGCAACATTTTGAGACTCTGGGGGGCATTTTTGTTTACCCCTGTTGTCGTTTTTTAACTTATGTAATAGCACCCTCAAATCTCCCCACTGGTTTGAATCATTTTCAAGACATTTTTTACTGCATAAATGTTTGTCCCAGCTGAGTTGTAGTGAGTTGTTGTCAGAATTAATTGCACTGCAAATGCTGCCAATCTCGAAATACTCCAGCTCACTTGGAAGCCTCAGTTGTGGACATGAAAGAAAAGCGTCATTATCAATCTTTTCATCTGACCTTCGCTGAAATGCACTCAGTTGATCATTAGGTCCAACTTTCACAGTAGAAAGAGCAGCCTTTGGCAATTGGATGGAATCAAAGCAAAAATTTATATTTTCAGTTTTTTGCCCACTTTTGCATAGGAAGTTCTCATTGTAACAGTTTGAATCATGTTGTCTTAGTCTATACAGACCCACAGATATACATACAACCACCAGAATGGTGATCAGAGGGAGAACCACAGCTATTACCCATAAAGGCCTTTTGTGCTGTATATTTGAGCACTCTTCATTTACAGTGGAAAGGCAGATATCACAAAAATTATGAGAGACATTCTGCAAACAGATGCACGAACTGTTCAGCATTGCAGGTCTACAAATCCTCCGGTTCTGACAGTTTGAAACACAGGTTCTAAAGGTATTTTGTTCATAGCAAGGGGAGAAGAGACAGACACCTGGAGAAATGCAGCTGGACTGGGGGAGAGTTGAACTAGGCAAGACATCCACCATTAAACTTTGTCCAATAATAGGAAGAGTGTGACCATTGATCCTTATGTGCTCCACACATCCATTAAATCCTGTGACCAAAAGAATGTAGAGACATCAAGATTGCTCTTAAGATTCCTCTCCTAAAATAATACAATCACAGACAACTTCACAAAGTATACTTGGTCACTCTGTTAACACAAAGAGCAACTTAATATTTTTGGATTTCTTTATGTGGAGAGGATGGTTAGTTAAAGCTAGAATAAAGCATTACAATGAAGAAAAACAGTGAAATGATGATAAGAATGATAATTTCTCGTCTTAACAGAAAGTTGCAAAAAAAAATCAAGTGAGCTCTTGTGAACTCATGTTGTGTGAAATGATCTTAGATGTCAGAAGACAATAGGCAGACACCTTGTTTAATTTATGCCATAAAAGCCTCAGATTGGTCTAAAGATAAAAGAGGCCTGAACTGGAGCTGGCAAGGTTTACCTGATGAGTTGGTCTGTAACTACATCAATATTACTTCAATGTATCATTGCAAGAACAGCTTAATAAATCAGATAATAAATAAATCAGATTACCTGGATTTTGGAGCTTGGTTTGTCTTTGTGGCACTGCACCGAGAAAAATCTTTTCCAAATGAACAAGTTTTAAGTCCATGTCTCTTTCTGTGACGTTTAAGACCATTTTGTCATCCACAAACAAAGAATTGTTACTCCCTCTGCTCAGTAAGGACAGACTGTGCCAGAGCCCATCAGCAACTAAAAAGTCAACTGTTAACTCTGCCTTATGTCCTAAGGTTGTGTCTATGGAAGTGTACACAGGTTTTCTGTCTTTTACCTGAAAAAAAAAAATAAAGAATCATATCTTAATACATCAGTCAGATACATCCTATCCACATGTTGAATATACATCTTTTTACAGACCATCAGCATAATGTTTCCTGTCTTCCCAGGAATAAAGAGTAAGGTTCCTCCCTCTTTTGTTTTGAACTTTATCGTGATCAGAGTTTGGTCTGTTTTGTTTTCTTGTTTAGTATTATCCATTAAGTCTTTGAGCAGAAGATCTCTCTTGAATCTTTCTTTGATGACATACTCAATGTATTCACTCCCCTTGAAGCTCATTACAAGCTCTTCGGATATTTCTGTTTCAGAAAGGGAAATAAACAAGTTCTCAGTTTCAATTTTACACAAAATAAAAACAAAACAAAAAATCTATATAGGTGTAACGCTGTAGACTCAGAGGGATAATCTGTAGTCATCATGACAGCAACACAGCTTCCTGAAACACAGCAATATGGCAGTATGGACCTTTGAGACCTAGAATCCTAAGTTGTACCCCTAAAGAAATATACAGGTGGTACAAATACAGTCATCATGGTTTAAGTCAGTGGACTCTTAAGTTCTCCTGCTGAGCCCTCCTTTTATTTGCAGATTTTCAACAAATCAATTAAGAAAAGTCAACTGCAGTAAACTAAAAATTGTAAAAGTAAACTGGGTTCAAATCACAAAAACAATCAAAAATGTAATCATTTTAAGTTCAACTATATTATTTAACAGATTTCAACATTCCTATTAAACATTTTAATGCCCATTAAAAAAACAATTCTAAATAACTCTTAGAATGGGTAATGTTTTTTCACTGTACTAATAATGTACACTTATGTGTGTCCTAAGCCTCTAATTGAATGTCCTTTAATTGAATGTCCTCCAACCTGACAAAAATACACCAAGAGACAAATAATTCTCCAAGGCTTACTGAAAGCTGCTCTAAAAAGTGTGGGTATTGACTATTAAAGGGGTCATAGAATGCAAAACCGAGTTTACATTGCCATAGAAGAATAACGATAGTTCAGTGGCTAAAATGGACATACAGAGAAGTTCAAACCCCATCGACACCTCCTTTCTCTGCAAATCTCACAATTCTAAACTTCCACCATAAAAAGGGCAAATTCAAACGAAGCACCGAACTGACGTCAATTCAGGGATGTTGCCTTATTTGGTTCTGGCCTGTACTTTTGTCACGCTCCAAAATTGACATACAGTAAATGCAATGTTCCAGGCTGCACAGAGGAAGGGGAAACCTTTCAAAGTCTTCCCTAGAATCCGAAGACTCGACAGGCATGGATGATGTTTGTGTATCAGAATATCCCTGCAAAGTTTAAGGCTCAGCTGTTAATTTGCTCTAAGCATTTTACACAAAACAGGTTTCAAAATCTTGGACAGTTCAAAGCAGGATTTGCTAAACTTCTTTTATTGAGTCAAGGGGCTGTTCTAACCATAAGGCCATCACAACTGTAGCTTTAAGTATGATTCTGTCACTAAGCTGTTGATAGCAATGCTAGCATATCTATGGTAACCAGATTTGGGGACGGAGTGACCGTACCCGAACCGGGTCGCTCTGTCCCCAGCCCCGACCAGCCCCGGAGCTCACAGCTCAGTTCTGCTGCACAGTAGTCGACCAAAATCCCGGACAATTTTGAAATTCCCTCTGGACATTATTTTAGGTATGAAAAGTAGGACATGTCTGGGAAAAAGAGGACGTCTGGTCACCCTACCATACCAATAATTTGATGTTTCAGTGAGTGAGTGCTTGTTGCTATGTTGTGTCTTTGCTCAGCAGCTTCGCTCGTTGTAAACCAACCAATCTCTCTCTATCTATCCATCCATCCGTCCGTCCGTCTGTGTACTTTTTTTTTTTTACCTGTATCACAGTTTCTTCCTCTAAAGGCAGCTTTGCACTCACAAACATAGTCCGACCAAAGGTCATGGCATATTCCTCCATTCTTGCATGGGGCGCCATTGCATTCTGAAGTTACTGTCCGAAGACACCTTTTTTTGAATAATTAGGAGAAAAAAAATGTAAATCTTCCTTGGATTTACTAAGATACCGGTATGTCCAAAAAAGACGGATAAACTTGCTGCATTACAATAGAAAATTTGTTTGTTAATTCATGGTATGTGGTAATTGTCTAAAACACTACCTGTTAAAGACATTATATGTTGCAAGACCAAAAGAAGGTCTCAGCAGGATGCCATTGATGTAAATATTTCTAATGCATCCAACAAAATCATGTGTTTTTATCTGATTTGGATGTTGTAAAATCAATTCCAGACTCCTCATTCCACCAAATGTCAAGTTGGTAATGCCAACATCCAGAGTCCTAGAAAATGAAAAGATGAAGACAAATCATTTAACTAGGTTGGTCAAACAAGCTAAAAAAAAAACATACACATTTAACTTGTTTTTATAAGTACTAAATCCAAGACACTCTTGTAGACACAAGAGTTTTTCAAGATCAATCAAACTGTCTGTATGTTATTTTGATTAAACCGTTGACAGATTTTACTTTGTTCCCCAAAGTTACCAATTTTTTTTTCATTGCCACTTTTTCTCTCCTTCTATCTGATACATGACATCCTGTGGAATTGCTTCATAGTACCAAACAGGACAGACCAGGGTCTCCCTTAGAATTACAGAGCCACAGTTGCAGAGAACTGCCAGTGGTCTGTTTACCTCAACATATTTTGATTCTGATGGACATCATAGGACTGGGTTTTCAGAACTAATAGAAAAGGGATCAGATGTCTGTTGGCCTTTAATTTATAGGTACCTTTCTGAGATGATGCCATCATCTTCTGAAAAACAAAATCCATTGTTCTCAACATCTGTACAGTTGTCCACAATCAAAGATCCCATCTGTTAAAATTACAGATCTGCATTAAAATGTTATAATGTATGACTGATCAATCTTGTGTAAATAGTTCAAACTCACATTGCCAATCCTCCTTACAGTAACACTGTGAAAAAGCCCATCTGCAACTTGTTTAAATGTCTGCAACCTTACAGGTCCCGAGCCCAGGTCATAAGAGAGTTGTATTGTACCACCAAGTATCTCCAATGCCAAGAATTCTCTGCTGGTTGATGTTCCAGAATTATACAAGAGTAGGGAGTCTTTTTGCACTGTTGCAAACTCAAAATAAATTAAATTAGCCCTGCTATCCAGTGGGGGAAACTCTATGAAGGACATTTCTTCAAATCCGTAACTTAGCTCTTCACAGTGGATACCACTGACTCCTGAAAGAAAAATAAATTGCAGAAAATTCACTAGTGTGAAGTCATTAACTTTTTTTAAAGACAGATATTTTGGTGCTAATATGTGCAATAATACCAAAATCATCTTTTTGCATAAAAAATATTGATGTTAATGCAAAACAGAAGGAATAGAGAGCATTTTGCAATGACAATGTTAGAAAAGGACAATGAGTTTAGCATTTTAAAGGAGTCTGTGGCTCTACAGATTAACAGTATTGTTTATATTAGGCCACAACTTAAATATTGGTAATTTTGATGTATTAATTAAAAGTATTTTAACATGTAGATGTGACGCACAAGTGGCATGAAAGGGTGTTGGTCTACTGAGGATATTCAAGCTTTAAACCATTGGTCGGATCGAATAACTTTAAATCTTTATTTAAATTCATGCTGTGGTAGAATTGAGCTTCTGGCCACCATAATAATTGCTATCTGAGTATGCCTTCATTTTAGTGCCACCGACATGAGTGTGCAGTCACCAGTGTCAGCACGCGATAAGACCAGTGTGCAGCTGTCTGCGACGGGCTTAACTCTGTCAATTTTTGTTCCATCACCTGTGCACTTTTTAATGCGCTCAACAACATTTCTGTGCGCTCTTGGCTTCGTCTCTGCATGTGATTTGTTTAACAGTATTTATATGAACTACACCAACCAGCCAGCCACAGACAGGCCTTTTTGCACTGATGTGCTAAATGCTCCTTATTGTCAGGCCCCTGAAGGCAATGCTCTATGCAGAGCTGAACTGTCAAAGTTATGTCAGTATTAGAAATGAAGCTTCTGTTTATAGCAAAAATAAATCTCTTACAAACAATATGGTATTCCTTGTTGCTAAATATATAATTTTTATCATATTTAGTGGAATAAATTCCCCTATAATTATTGTTCGTGGACTATTCACACTGATTATAACATTCAACCAATCCAATGGTTGAATAGCTTAAATATCCAATTAGGTACAAAAAATACGTGTTGCTGTGGGTTTTTCGATTAAAATGCGACTAATTTCGATTAATCAATTAATTAATTATAGACATGTGATTATTTACAGACCCTGGGGCAACAGTGGTATGGGAAGCAGGAGTTTGCCCTGAAATGTTGTTGTTTCCTTGGGCAGGACAATTCACCCAAATTGCCCACTGATGGTAGTTAGAGGGCATGGTGGCGCCAGTGTACGGCAGCCTCACTGTCCCAGGGCAGCTGTGGCTACAATGTTGCTCGCCACCATGCGTGTATGAATGACTGAATGTAGTGTAAAGCTTTTTGGTCAAGTCTCCTGAGTTGAAAAAGAGCTACATAAGTACAGGTCTTTTACCCTTTTTACCATTTAATTAACTTGATTAAAAATAATAATCCCATCCCACCACTAGTTTATCACAAATTGTTTTGCAATCATGTCATGCATTAGTAAAAAACACATTACATTGGTCTAAATGTAGATTATCATCAGATGTCACCAAGTCACTATATGCTTTTGAAAAAAAATGTATTCGAATTCAATGAACAAGTGACGGCCTATAATATTATGAATGATTCTTCAGTATTATAACAAAATAAAAAATCTTAAATATATAAAATTAGTCTTTTTACAAAAGCTCCAAACACATTAACAGCTCATTGTTTTTCCATTTTGGTTTTTTCCATATTTCTTTTTAATCTTTCACGCTTGCATCACATTTATTCTCACCAAAGGGGCAGTTGCAGAGGAACCCTGTTTGTAGGTTAATGCACTGGCCCTGAAAACATGGTGTAGATCTGCAATGATCTTTGAGCCATTCACATCGTTCTCCTGAAAATATAAAGAAACAGGTTTTACAGACATCTTAATCTTCATTTGGTAACACCTATTAAATGTTGTTTTTTACAGGATTAACACTACCTTCAAATCCAGCCACACACTGACAGTAGTATCTCTCCTGCGACTGAATACACGTCCCACCATTTTGACACTTCACCTTAAGGCACTCATCCACATCAGCTGAGCAGAGAGAGCCAGAGAAGCCACTCTGACAGTAACAGTGAAAACTTCCAAAGGTGTTTTCGCATGTGCTGTTATTTTCACAGGGATTCAGCTCACATTCATCAATGTCATCTTCACACAGTGAACCGCTGAATCCAATGGAACAGGTACAATTAAAAATCTCTTTCTGTGGTGACACAAAAATGACAGCCAGGCTTTCTAGGACAGCAACAACCTGGCTGATGTGAATGTTTTTGTTGCATGTGGCACCATTCTGGCAAGGGCTCATAAGGCATGGATCACTGGTAATGTGAGAAATTGTCACATTGCTTTGGGACTCCAGTAACCTCTTATGTCCAGCAGATATACTACTTGCTACCTTATTGTTCAGATATTGCCCATTGTAGTTTTTCACAGCAGCAAGTAGTAGTATGTCCATGCCAATATGCTTGATTCCAAATACATGAGTCTTTGAAGCCTGAAGGTTGAAGAGGCTGTCCAGGGCTTTCACAAACTTTAAATAACTATTAGTTAAGAAGTTTTCCATTGAGGGTGAGAATATGTAGAATAATATGCAACTGTCTACAGATGCATTTGTAAAACCTTTGTAGTTTACATAGATACTGTTATTTACTGGAAAGTGAACCTGATCGGTTGCCTCCACCGTGACATTGAATGTGGCCTCTCCCTGAAAAGGGGACGACCATAGCTCACATGTGCCGTTGGGTATCTTAAACATGTTCATTGGGCCATTTTTAATGACACACAGGAATCTATCAGACTCATCATGATCCTCAGGATGCACGTTACCAATCATGCCTCCATTAAAAAAACTGCCAAAATATTTAACCTCAATAAAGATGTTTCGTGGTAATGGGGCGTTATCATTTTCATCCTCTACCATAACGTGAAGCGTTGTTGTTGAAGACAGTGGGATCGGAAACCCTGTATCTTTTACCACCACCTGCAATCGATAGTCAGTGATATGTTCCCGGTCAAGAACACGTGAGGTAAGTAAAACTCCATCCTGAGTAAGAAAAAAAGCACTTTCTGCTGACAAATTTAATAACCAAAAGATAAAAGGACCTTGATTTGGTGGTAAATCAAAATCAAAGGCGTGTAATTTGGCAACAATGGTTCCTTCAGGTTGATTTTCCTTTACTTGAAAATTAGTTGTCATGAGTTTGGGGGCATTGTCATTAATATCAACTATAGTCACAATCACATTTGTTGTCCCGGTGGCTGGTGGAGAACCATTATCAGTGGCCGTAACAGTGAGATTATAAGTAGGCCACAGTTCCCGATCAAGAGGAGAGTTTACTAAGACAATACCACTAAGTGGATCAATGGAGAAAGAGGAGTTTGTGTTTCCATCTACTATCGTAAAGAAGAATCGATTCCAGTGGAGTACGGAGTCATGGTCATAAGCACTTACATTTAATACAAATGTCCCAATTGGGCTGTCTTCCTTAACATTTGCCTCATAGCACGTGGAGCTAAAAATTGGTGCATAATTTGTATCGATTACATTAATGTTGACCAATGTCTCAGCTATGTTTGTGCCATTTATAACGCCAGAGTTCTTTGCCAAGACCTTTAAAGTTATGTTGCTGTTGCCTTGGTTTCTCAAACTACCACTTGTATATATATCTCCAGTAAGTTGAACAACATCAAAGCCTAAATGCTTGCCATAGCCAAACATTAGATAAAACACCTCACCTTGAGGACCACTGTCATTATCAGTGGCTGCTACTTTTCCTATTGATGTTCCAACTGGAACATTTTTGAATACTGAAAAGCTAAAACTTTCTTGAATGAAGGTTGGGCTAAATTCATTAACATCCAAGACGTGAATGATGACATGAGCCAGACTGAACAAGGTGTGTTTAGCAGTGTTTGAAGCTTTCACTGTAATATCAAATATGTGTTTATGTTCATAATCAAAGACAACCAAAGTAGAAATAATCCCATTTCTTGGATCAAGTGCAAATTTATCCAAACTACCAGCAATCAGAGAGTAGGATATTTGTGCATTTATCCCTGAGTCCATATCAGTGGCCTTCACATCTAGAATACTTGTTCCAATTTTTGAATTTTCCGTCACTGCTGTGAAATACTCAGACAACAAAAAGACCGGAGGATTGTCATTTACATCCATAACTATCACAGTAACATTCAACCAGGCATATTTAGATATCCATCCACCATCTGTTGCTTTTATACGCAGATAATAACTGCTTTCTTTTTCATAGTCAAGCTCTGTGGTAAGTGTTAGTAGCCCAGAGAATTTTCCTACAGAGACTGGAAAATGTTGATTTTCAGCACTTATGCAGTATGTAATTTCACCATTAGGACCATAATCCCAATCTTCAGCTTGAACTTTCCCAGCCACTGATCCAACAGGCAAGTCTTCTGGGACAGAGATTGTGACATCTGATTCACCAAACGTTGGAGAAAACTGATTAGTCCCAATTATCTTAATGCTGATTTTAGTTTGAGAAGTTAATGGAGGAAAACCTTTATCTATGGCTTCAACTAATAAAGTAAGTGACTGATTTTCCCTTTCTGCTAGATTATGATTTAGGAATACCTTTCCACTGTTGGTTTGAATCCCAAAGAGATCAGATGCATTACCTCCACTGACATTATACTCAATAAAATCACTGCTATTGACATCTGGATCTGTTGCAGTGAGTTTTACTACTTCAGATCCTACCAGTAGATTATATGGAATGGCAATAAAGGCTGGTAAAGGCAAAAACATTGGAGGGTGGTGGTTAAATGGTTCTAATCTCACTGTGACACTGGTATTGCTGTGCAGAGGGATGCTGCCACAATCAAAGGCAGCAACTGTGAAGGTATAGATTTCAAAAGTTGAATTGTTTAAAATGAGAGCCTGCTTTGAAAAGACCTCCCCAGAAGAAGTATTTACCCCAAAGAAATCATTTGAGGGTTCAATTATATAGATAACCTCACTATTTAGTCCAATGTCTGCATCTGTTGCAGAGACCTGCAAAACAAAAACCTCTGGGTGTTTGGTTTCGGGGATGACAACTGAGTACAAATCTTTAGAAAAAACTGGTCTCATATCATTGAAATCTAAAACAAAGATAGTTGCATCAGTGCTAACACTCCATGCTGAATCATTGGCATTTACTTTTAATACATACTGATCTTGCTTCTCCCTGTCCAGAGACCTTTTAACGGTGATGCATCCAGTGCTGGACTCAATATCAAAAGGGAGATCCTGATTATGGTCAGATATATGGTAACTAATTTCTGCATTAGAATCAGTGTCATCATCAGTTGAGGTGATTTGCAGAACTGTGTAACCTATAGGAGCATCTTCAGAAACCTCTGCAAGATACATTTGAGACAAACTAGGTGCATTGTCATTCCTGTCCAAAACAGCAATGATGACTGTTGCATGATCTGTATGAAGAGGGTTACCAGGCTCTGCCGCCTCAACTGTTAAATTAAAAAAAGGAATACTTTCTCTATCTAAACTTATGGTGGTGCTAACCAAACCATTTTCAGGGTCAAGCATAAAAGACTCATCAATATTTCCTTCTGTTATTTTGTACCATACTGTGCTGTAAGTGGGCGAATCTGCATCGATTGCAAGAACATCACAAACTATAGATGGTGGGGAATTCTCATAAATCTCACACCTGTATTCAGCTTGGGTAAACTGGGGGGGGTTATCGTTTACATCAGTTATATTTATTTGAATTTCTAAAAATGATGAAAATGGAGGCCAGCCAGAGTCTCTGGCTTCTATCAGTAGAGAAAATTCCCTTTTGCTTTCATAATCCAGTGAGTTGTGAACTGTCAACGCTCCACCTAATTGGTCTACATGAAACATGTCTTCAAAGTTTCCAGAAGCAAGATAAAAAGAAATGGGTTCAGCTCTGATGCTTGCTGCAGAAATAACAGCCACTACTGTTCCCACTGGTTGGTCCTCAAAGAGAGAATAACTCAAAACATCCACAGTCATCTCTGGGAAATCAGAAATGTTCTGAAACCTGATACTGATAGTAGTGGTGTCAAATTTGGGATTTTCACCCCCATCTTCTACATGCACATTGATAATAATATCCTCTGTCTTCAGTGAATTAGAAGTGAATACTGTGCCACTGTTTGGATCAATGGAAAACAGGTCTGAAGTTTGTCCATATAATGAATAATGCAGCTGCGCATTCATGTCAGTGTCTCCATCAATAGCTTTCACTGCACAAACAACTGAGCCTATGGAAAAAATGAAACAAAAAAAGTTAATTCTATTCAAAACAGTGCCACCTTTCCTGTCACAAGGGAGCAGCGCATCTTACCTGGAAGAAACTCTGTGGGTACATAAGCTACGAAGGGACTATCCAGAAACTGAGGCCAGTTGTCATTAATATCACCAACCAGGACAGTAACAAGTGCAGAGCTTGAAAGAGGTTGTGTGGGATGCATGTCGGTTCCAATCACTGTCAGTGTGTAGAAGGCTACAGTCTCCCTGTCTAGAAAATCAGTTGAAAACAGTTCTCCAGATGCTTCCTCAATAGCAAAAGGTGCATCCGTGTTTTCCATTGAATACCTAATTAGGAGACAAAATTTAACGTTCTTAGTATGTCGTGCCTCATAAAACAATAAAGCCTCTGAACTTTCACATTTTGTCAAGGTGCAACCATAAACTGTTGTGATTTATTCTGTTATGTGGCAGACCAATGCAAAGTAGAGCATAGTTATAAAGAAAAAAAACTATTCATGGTTCCCTTTCTTTCTTTATAAACAATCGTCAAAAAAATATGACAGAGGTGTATATTCAGCCCCACCGGGTTTGAACTTGCTAAGTCCACCTTTAGCTGCATTAAAAGCTGCATTCCTGTTAAGGTAGATTAAAAGGAATAAGCATTTCCAGCTTTTTAGCTTTTATTGTCATTACACTGTCACAAGTACAGAGCAACAAAATTAACTCTCTGCCTTTAACCCATCCCCTTGGGAAGCAGTAGGCTGCTGTTGTGCGGCGCCTGTGGAGTAGTGGGGTTAAGGGTCTCAGTGACCCAAAGTGTCAGTCTGTGGGAGTGGGGCTCAAAAGCAGAACCTCAGGATTCCAACCTCTATGCCCTAACCACTTGGCCGCCACTCCCACACATTTATTTCTAAACTTTGAATAAGCCATTCTAAAACTTGATTATGTTTTGACCTTACCCATTCCTTACATTTGTTGAAGAGTTTTAATTGATGATCTATTACCTTAGATCTTAAGCTAAATGTCTGTTTGTGTCCGTTTGGCTGCTCCTGTATTCATACGTTGCCACATTATGATTTGCTCAGACTTGACAAAGTTTTTACACCACTAGCTGTCCCTGACACAACCAGGATTTAAACCTGGTCCCAACATTACAGTCAGTGACTTAGGCCACTTCATCTTGTGGATAACATTAGATCTTAAGGAAAATGGTTACATTTTATTTTATTTAGGGGTATCAGGGTGAAGAGGGGTACATGTAAATACCAACCAGAATTTTTACAATTATATTAGTAGGAAAAAAAAAACTTCACAAAATTTTGTTGGTCTGCCACATAAAACCCTTTTTTAAAGTGACTGTTCACCTGACTTCACCGCTCACGCCCTCGTCAGCATCAAATGCTGATATCATTGCAAACACTGTGCCTATTGGACTGTCCTCAGATACTATAGTGTTGTAGAGATCCTCTGAAAACTCAGGAGGGTTATCATTGACATCATCCACAAGGACATGGATTGTCAGTGTGCCGGTTAAGGGGGGCAAACCTTCAAATATACAAAGTTATATTAATGGAGTTAAATTTGTTTGAAAAAAATATTTTTTAAATGTTATTTATATACTGACATTGCACTAACTGCAGTTCTTCTGTAAGATGTATTACCTGAATCAGCTGCTGTGATGATGACAACATAAAATGATTCTTTTTCCCTGTCCAAGCTGTGTAAAATCTTAAACGCACCATCAGGAGTGACAGAGAACAGACCATCACTCTTATCTTTGTGTATAAAATAATGAAGCTGACTGTTGATCCCAAGGTCTTGATCCAAGGCTGAAACCTACAAAAACAACAAAACAAAGCAAAGGATTGTTACATATGGATAAATAAGATTAAAAGATTCTGTTCACTTGGCATGAGGCGGTTCCATGTATCTAGGAATATACCTTATTCTCGTCCTTGTAGGATTAATTGTGGATGCAGCTTATAGTAAGATTTAGAAGTAAAGCATTTTTTTGTAGGTAGTCATATTTAGCAAGTGGTATTTTTAACTAACTGAATTAGTTTTATTAAATGTCTATTTTAATGCTGCTCTCATATTCAGATAAATCCCAACTTAAACATGAACCGAAAGAGAAGTGAAATTGTTCCTTCAGTTGGCGGCTTTAATATGGCTGCTGCTTTCAAAAAACACAAGAAAGAAAGCCCTTTGGCCCACAATGTAGCATCCATCAGGGAGGAAATATTGGCTTCTCAATAGATTTTCCTACTTTCTGTCAACTTCTTTACATTTCTGTCATGTGTGACATGTCATTAAAAAAGTTTATACAGATTACTAGTGCAAAAAATATTAATTGGTAATCAGTCATGTTTTTTATGCTTATTTATTTTAAAAGAACTGTCATAATGCATGCAGTCATGCAAGTCAGCTTCAATGAATGATAGTTGCACCTACTGTATAATTGTTACAAATCATAAAGGATTGTAGAAATAAGGTGGATTCCAAATTCTATTAGTAACCTATAAATATCTTACGTCATACAATATCTGCGGTTCAAAATCCTTGTAATGGCTTCCCAATGAGAGCAGAGTCAGTTTTTCCTTTCTTTATATTGAAAAGATTGACATTATGCTGCCTCTACGCTACCTTCTGCTTTATGCTACCAGTCATCCAGATAAGAAACTCTTTTTTTACATACTCTACTTTACAAAGAAGACAGATTGGATGTTCAGAAATGTTTCTTAAGAGCCAAAGAGCTGTAGCTTGCTGCCCAAAGGAGCCCTATCTATTACTTTTATTTCAATAACATGGTTTTCAAACCAAAAACAAGAAATACATTGGTGGCAAAATATCTGCAATCTCAGCAGATAGCACATCTTGGCAGATGACTAGGAGGTTTTTATACTTTTATTACTTTGTATACATTTATATATTTTCAGCAAAGTCTACTTATGAATATGTTTACTAAATACAATCTTGATATATTTAATAAAACTGTAACAGTAATATTTACTTTTTCCAGTGTTGCAGCTGTGACACCATAAAACCATGGTTATTTTCCTCAGGCATATCATACAGTGACAGTTTCATAAAGGCCCATGCCTAATAACGTCTACATCAAGTATGAAGCATGAGTTATGGTGGTACCTGGTATGTAAGCTCAGATGGATTGATTTCATTCTCCTTCACATGAATGATCAGGGTTTCTGGAGAAAACAGCGGCGTCACGTCATTAACATCCAGCACTGTGATGCTAACAACAGTGGTAGCAGATCTAGGTACATCCCCTTGATCGACAGCAGTTAAAATTAAGGTGTAATTTGAATTTTTTTCTCTGTCAAGTTTATCCATGATGTACAGCACACCTCGAACTCTGTCAACCACAAAAGGACCAACCGGGGTCAACATGTATCGCACTAGTCCATTTAAACCAATATCTTGATCCCATGCTTTAACGTGAATGAGAATTGTCCCTCTTCGAACATCTTCTTTGATGAGCAGACTGTAGTTGCTTTGTGAAAACACAGGTTCATTGTCATTTACATCCTCGACATGGACCATGAAAGTCATTGTGCTGGTCATTTGAGGTGAACCCATATCAGTAGCTATCACGGTAATATTCAAAGTGTCCATCTTTTCTCTGTCAAGTATCTCCTCCAGGAAAGTCTCTCCACTTCTGTCATCAATACTGAATGTCCCTCTAGAAGTGTTGCTTAAAAAATACAAAATCTCTGCATTGGATCCTGCGTCTTTATCTTCAGCATGTACAGTCATAATAACGGAATGCAATGCAGAGTCCTCTGGTATACTAACATGTTTGGCAGACAGAAATAATGGAGCATTGTCGTTGATATCCTCCACTATCACAACTATATGTGCTGTGCTGGTGAGCTGTGAAGTCACTGGCAGGGCACAATCATTGACTGTGACAGTCAGATTAAAGGAAGCTTGACTCTCTCTGTCCAGCTCTTTGTTCAGGCATAAAATACCAGCTGAGTGTATGAAGAACATGCCCAGCTCATCACCGCTGGCAACCATCAGTTCCACTTGTCCATTTTCACCTAGAAGGAAGAAGACAAAAACAGCAACACTGACATCTTCTCAATATCTTTCTCTCATATGCAAATTATGTTCCTCACACATCCTGTCTTAATATATTATATATTAAATGTCATTAGAGACTTTAGAATTATTCAACCTATTATGCATAAATTATAGCCATAAGATAACATTTATAATAAAAGACTCATTTTAACCCTGATCAAAATCAGAAAAGAGAGAAAGGTTCTCACATAGTTTTGTCATTTTCAAGTATTGAAATGAGTTTTACTTGTGGTAACTTTATAAATCCTCCATATTAACATCAACATTTCAATGCAAGGAAATATGAAATAAGCAATTCTGGCTTAGTTTTGATCAGACATGGGCAATGTGGAGTCAACAAGTCATCTCCATGTCATGTATTTGTTCTACCCAGCCACTGAAGCAGGTGAGTCCAATCTTCACCTTGAATTAACCTGTGCAGATTGGACTCACCTGGTTAATTGGCTGGGTAGATTAAATACATGACATGGAGATGACTTGTTGACTCCACATTGCCCATGTCTGGTTTTGATAGACAGGTTTGTACAGCCCTCATTAGTTACTTAAGGTTTGATGGTTCTTTGAAAGAGAAGCAGCTCCCATAGAAAATTGTAACTGAATGTTTTGCAAAAAAATAAAATATCCTCTGTTGGTTGCATATATCGCATTTTGAGATGTGAAGAGGTGAGATAGTGAACCATGCACAAAGAATCAGATGTATTGAATGGGGAAAGAATTAAAACATGCAAGACCAGAACTTGACAACAATGGCTTAATTTCCAGGCTTCCATGCCGTTGAAAAATACCTAAACTTCAAACATTATTGCCTTCGTCTATATATCAAAATCAGGACAATAGGGAAGGAAGACTCGCTTCCTATTCTGCAGGAGCTCTCCAAAAAGCCATGTGACTCTTATTCCTTCTTGTCTTAAAACTCAGTCCATTTTCTATATTAGATTATAGTGAACCTTAGGGATCTTTTTCTTTTTTTAATTTATCCTTGATTTACATTAGATTAGTATGATGAGAAGTAAAGTTTGAAGTCTGGATTTAAAGAAAATAATTAAATGACTTGAAGAAGTCCTGTATACCATGGTAGACTCTTACCATCATCTTTGTCTGACACATTCAGAGACAGGAAGCAAGTTCTGACACGTGTGTCCTCCAGTAGTGATGCAAAGTAGTTGCTCCGACTGAAAACAGGAGGGTTGTCATTGACATCGAGCACATTAAAGTAGACTCTGGCACTGGATGCTTGTAAGTCCCCCTGCTGCCCCTCCACTGTGAGAATGTAAAACCTTTGTGTTTCAAAGTCCAGGTTACGGGATAAAAGGAATTCCCCAGAGATGGGGTTTAGAAGGAACATGTTCTCCCCATCGTCCTCCTGAACCGAGTATGTGATAGGTGTGGGAAACTCCATCTTCGCTTCCAGCTTTCCCACAACAGTTCCTAGAAACACAAATGCAGATAAGTGCTCTGTGATCCAATAAAACGAAAAAGAAATGAAAAAAAAAAAATAGTATTTATGTTCGCAGTGTGAAGACAAAATAAGATAAAACAAGAAGATACTTTGAGCATGAGATTAACTGTTGTTAACAAACATCCATGTTTTCTAACAGAAGAAGAGATGCGAACCTGGCATAGTGTCCTCCTTTAATTGAAATGAATAAACAGTTTTGGAGAAAGCCATCTGTGCTTGCCATCTGCTATGAGCCAACGAGCCGATGGCCCCATGTTTCAGCTCTGCATCGACAGATGTATTATACCAGGAAGGAAGCTTATGCTGCTTAACATCAGAAAATTCTCTCCCACTTCTCAGATTCTCTGAATTTACCAAAAAAGGCTCATGGCAGACCACCATATTAAAACCCTGTGTAATTATGAGATAAAAAGAAACAATCTTTAATGCATCTTAGTCACCACATACATATACTGTATACATATGTTATTATCAAAACTTGTACTCAGGTAAGAGTAGCACATACTTAATATATGTTCACTCGAGTTAAAGCCATAAGCTGATAAAGTTTTATTATTAACCGAGTAACATTTCATAATATCATGTTTAATTATATTAGGTTAAATGGCATCTCTTAATTACTACCTCAACCTCATTGTCATAGAAGATTTAACAGATAGAAATAACAAAGGAAACAACAAAGCTAGGGTGCAAAAAAAAAAAAAAAAAAACAACAAGCTATTGATTGTAGTGAAACTTTGACTGTGTCATGTGAAATTTAGGTTCAAATCCACTTGTTCTACATTCAGTAAAGTTACTCTTGGTATGTAGAGTAGGGAAAAATTTTACTCGAGTAAGTGTAGTGATGCTTCATTATTCATGTAAAAGCATGATACAGTGAAAATACTCCTAAAAGTACATTTTTGTTCAAAGTTACTGCCCCACCCTTATATTTACTGATCGTTTTAAAACAAAATGTTTTAACAACTTATGAATTAGTGATCCAACTTACCCAAAAAAGCAATGACAAAATCATGATTTTGCTCATACGTCGTAGTTTCCATTAAAGGTTTATCTCCCAGGTACCCATTTATTTGACCTGATGACAAAGTAAACTCTAGAAGTAGGATCCTGTGCAAAAAGTAAAAAAAAATGTGCAGCATGAACAGGTAAGGTACTGACTCCAAACAGCCCAACAAATAGAAAACTAGGTGTCCGAAGTGATTACTTGATCTCTCTCGTAAAAAATCCTGACTGGGCTGAAATCATGCAACTGCCAAGGCCAAAGCACAGGAAGAAAGCAAATCGCCACATTATCAAAATATATACATTTCAATCTGTTCTTAAAATCCCTTAAATATGCAGAAGTCTAAATAAAATATTTGTCCTACCCTGTGTTTGATTCCAGCAGTTTTGAATTTTCTCCTTGCGGTTTTGTTGCAGAATTGAGGTTCTTTGTGCAGAGTGAAAAGTCGCATCTAGTTCACTGGGTTTGTACTTCTTCAGGGAAAGGACTGGTGCTGAGAATGTGACAGCTTTCAGGAACAGGTTAAAATGAGAGAAAGGTGAGTAGGTGGGGGTGGGCTCCACTCTGCATAAGTATTAAAAGTGAGCTGACAGTACGGCAAAGCAGAAATTGTGTTTTATCTAGAGTGCACAACTTAGAAGTGACTCATAACTACATTCAGAATTAGTGTTTCGAAGACTTCAGAAACACATTGACCTTATTTTTACTAGAAAAATCCCTTTGAGAAAAGCCCAACTTTTTGCAGGACTGCTGAGAGGAGTTCCATAAACAGAAATTTGAATCCCTGCTAAGTGATTGTGGTCTCCTTCACAATTTGTGTATCCAGTGACTACAACTGGGAATTCAAAACCAGGTCATTCCTCTGAGAGGAGTTAGAAACACCAAACACAAGAAGTACTATTCCTGACCTCTTTTTAAGTTGTTGAGCGAATAGGATTAGATGTACTTTGACTAACTTTAAAATGTCACAGAGGGAAACATACCCTGTAAAGTGTTCTTCTATGCAGAATTTCAGACAGATTCAACAAGAGTTACATAAATGCATTCCTTAAAAATAAATCAAAGCATTTGCTTCCATTTTGTTACTTATTTTTTGATCAATCAATGATCCAAACATTTTATGTTTATAT